GTGGAGAGGAGACTTTGGAAGTTGGAGGCAAAATGCAGAATGAGATTATGATCGAGTTATGGGCTCCTAAAACTCCACATCCGTCGTGTCTTTACGTTTCTTGAAGGAGTCCCATCCACGTCCGTCGTCTTGTACTTGGGCTATGCATTGGGTATACAATAACGCAGTGATGTCAATTCTTTTTTGTAATGCTGAATTCTTTTCGACGCGCGACATCTACGCGATTTCATTGGCTGATCGCTACAACGACCATTGACGTCGAATTGCTCAGTCCGCCATGGAAACGTAGATGACCCCCGGTTTTACCCTGTGACAACTTTACCTACTGTTTTGGTGGATCGTATACCTGCTACAACCCCGAAACCTGCGTGCTATGGGGGGATTCCCCATGCAACGTGCTCACATCAGTCGCTCATGAAGGCCTCGACTGGGAGCTGCACGGTCTGGCTGATCACATTTCCCGACAAGGAGGAGAAACTGAATAACTCGACGACACGAGCTCTCGTCAGGCTGCGTTTGCGCAGACGGTGTTTAGGGCCGCCACGGCTGCACTTTTCTTGGTAAATATCCACCCGATGTTCCTCATTCGCAGGTATGAGTCGGGTGTCCAGCATGATACCCCGTGTATTCGGCAATCAACTGGACGCATATCAAATTGCGCAGAGCCGTACGTCTACCGTCGAGTGATTGGCCAGAGCTGTGGCTACAGGAATCCATCGTTGACGCGCGGGACTTGCCATTGCGAGCGGGCCCACACGGGAGTCGTACAACATCACTGGCCGTTCCATCTTCTTGTCGCGGTTGGCCCCAATAGGCTCGACAAAGGCATGGGGCAACGCTGAGCAAGGGTTTAAAGATGCGCCACCAAGAATTGGCTCGATTCGGATGTCGACGTCGATATATTTATGGGCGTTCCAATTTGGGCAAATTGCGACTGCATCCGTGACCGCCGCCACGCTTTCTTCCTGGAGCCCATTGCCAGGGCATTTTCTCGAGGGGAGCAATTTCATTCTTCGGGACAGATGCCAAGCGACCTCCCTTGGGCTGCCTTTTTAAAACACTGCGAGTTCCTCGCATTCATTCGTTTGGTGGCTAGCTTTCGTGCCAACTGTGTTTGACCGAGCGAGATGGTGTCACTCATTTTTCAGACGGCGTGCCCCTGTACCAGCTGAGGGGGAGCGCTCTTCTGTCAACGTATTCAAAGGTCCAACGTGTGCGTCGGCCAATTCAGATGTACCATTTTGCTGTACAAGGATATTCCAGGTCAGAGAACGTGATCCCGTTGCAATGTATTTTGCGAGGAGTGTTCCATTCGATGGGGATTCATTCACACACCACCCCCGTCGTCGATACATTCGAACCTCCTCACACACGGGCGAATTGTCTACATGGAGTTTGGAAGTCGTACACGAAGCTGTGTGCGGGAATTTTCCGCCGCGTGGTACAAACTTGGCATGGTTCACCTCCATGTCGAAGTTTTTCTGTCGGGGATTCCATTCTCCAGTCCCGAGTGGCGTATTGGATATGGTTGTGGCATTCCAATTGAAATTAGACGTGTCCCACGTACGGTCAATACCAAGTCGTCAAAACTCATTGATTTTGACCAATTGCAGTGTAGTTACAATAGAAACTGTGATTGACTGGCAGAAATTTATGTGATTATAGCCAATCAAGTTTGACTGAATAAGCAATAAAAGTAATTAGGGAGAGTCAATTTGGGAATTTTTGGTCTGCTTTTGATTTTCAAGGATTTTGAAAATCGAAACTATATTTGGGCACTCTCAGTCGAAAAGTGTAGGGGAGTCAACAAGACCAACCGATTTTAGTTTATCCGTATCCGTATGCTAGATTACATTGTGCAAAATGCCGCGGCGCTCTGAGCGATCGGCCATCTTGGCGGACTTGGACACCATGGTGCGAACAATTGTGACATGCAATCCACGTCTATCAGTTTCTACAAAGAACAATATACGACAGCTTCTAGAGCTTCGATGTACGCTTCTCAGTGCTCGTTACATGTGCCCACGTGTGGCATTGTTGCGTCCACTAGGTCAGCTTTCGATTCTCCCATTCATTGCTGTAGGAGACTTTGTGCAGGAAGTTCGTGTTTGCCAGACTACGTTTGCATTCATCTTGCGATTGATTGAGGAACACTCTGTGTTTCAACCAAAAACGAATCGTGTTCAACGGCCAGTATGGGTACAGCTTGCTTGTGCTCTACATCGGCTTGGTCACAATGGCACTGGTGCGTCTGTTGGTATGATCGCACGGGCGAAAGGAATTGGTAATGGAACAGTTCATCTCTATACGAGACGCATTATTCGGCCATCAGGGCATGGCCGTGGGCTTTCGTGAGCCTCTGCCCGCCTTTCACCGACTTACCTTTCGTCGCCTGGCCAGTCATCAAGGCAAAGTTGTCAGGAATGCGCAGGAACTCAAGCATAGCGAGGCGCTCGGCGCGCGACGTGCCTCGCTTCGCACGGTCGTTGAACTCGAGCTCCATCGTTCCTGCACACGAGTGAGCGATTTGTGTGCCAGTAATTTCGAGTGATTTGATTGGATGTTCAGTTGTCCAAGTTCAACTTGCTTTTGCTTTTAAAAACGAAAAGTACCTCGCGAGGTACTTTTGCTTTTCGCAAAAACGAAAATCGTACATGCGAATTAAAAGCAGAACAGATTTCCAATTTGACTCTCCCTATTGATTCATGCTACCTCCATGCATTTCAGGATGATACCATCTCGGCTTTTTCGGGGTTCACACCTCCGCGACATTTGGCGTAATGATTTCTGTAAGCTAAGCTAGCGAAAGGTTAGCTGACCTTGTCAAAGCAGCACATTCCGTGTGAGGGGTACTCCCCCCAGAGCCCAAACGCATTGAATTATGTTTATAGCTCCATGTACGATAGACAGTACGATGGCAAATTCCAAAGGGATTGATGAAGTTACAATCGTAGCTGGCTAAGGGTCTCGAACTGGCAAGATCTTTTTCACTCGGCTAGATCCTAATTCATCTCGACAATTGTATGCACATTGGAATGAGCCAGTAAAAGTCTAGGATTCGGGGAAGATCTTAGTTGACATCCGAGACACTTGAAGTAGTCCTTTCCATGGTTTTTGCTGGACAACACATGTGGTGCTCAAAAGCTCACCCCCTTGAAACGACTGCCGATTCCGTGTCAGCATAGGTTTTGGTCCGCTTAGTGGGCCTGTTTGGTCACTCGGGTTGTAAACCACCTGCACTGTTGATGAAGGCGCAGGAGAAAGTTCTGGAGAAGAGACGGAAATGGTTATTTTTCTCATCTCGCACTCGCCACGACCATCTAAACCAATCTAGGCAACGGCGTTCGCAGGCAGGTGCCCCAAGCTGCGGAGCTTGGACACAATTTTGTCCATCTTGACGCCAGCGTTTGGGCATCCGCCGCGGCTGTGCAGCGCGACGACCTTGTTGTCGTGAGCGCTGAGTACGGGCGCCCCGGACGATCCGACTTCCGTGTCCACAGAGTACAGGACATAGTCAGGGCAGCAAGTCGGGGTGCCTTCAATGGTGCCGGCGACGCCATTGTCCACGGTGGATGTGATGAGCTTGGGCTTGCTTCTGGGGTGATGCGCAATGTAGATAGGCTCGTTCAGCACCGGACCGGTGCTACGGGCCTGGAGGTAACTGTACGAGGCCAAGCTGACACCACTCTTCACGTTAAGCTTCACCAACGAAAAGTCGAGGTCCTCTTCGTTGTAGATAAGCTCGGCACTCGTTGCGACGGTCACCCCCCTGCATCCATCCACGACGGAGTTGAGGGGGTCACTGCACGTACTGCATTCGGCGCCAAATTCGAATTGGACGTTACTCGCCTTCGACGCATCGTTGAGACAGTGGTTGGTGGTGCGATGTGGCGGTACTGGCTGGGTTCCAACGTATCAATGAGGATCCCGAGTGCCTTTTGGTCGTCGCTGGTTGCGTCCAAGGAGGCCGACGTTGGCGTGTGTGTCAGGTACTGGTGCATTCCCTTCATCATCAACTTCCCGCGGAAGTAGATGTCCCATTCGCGGAAGTTGTGGTCGTTGAGCTTGAGCGTGGTGGTGATGCTCGCCATGATCCTTCTTGCTTGTAGGTGCCTTGTATTGGGCTCAGAACCTCTTGAACTGACGTGTTTCGTAGGTCGACTTGCCAGTTGAGGAAGACAAAGGCAGCAGGCGGTTAGCCGGCGACTCAAGACCAAGAAGGGAAATCGAGAAGTGAATTTGATCCTTTAATGAACTTGTCTTCCTACATGCAGTTCTTTTCTTCCTTGCGTATGCATGACGAGCTTGCAGCTTG